AAAATGAGGTTTACACAGCTTTTCGAAAAGGGGAGGGGGATGCTGAAAAAAAACGCATCCCAGCTACTTTCACTTTCGATAGCTCTGCTTTTGAAAATGAGATTGGAAGAAGATATACAAATTCCCGCGGAATTTGCATATCCTTTTTCAAAACTTCAGCGTAGTCTAGATGAGCCCTAGATGATGTAATCAGGAAGGATCTTTCGATCTTGAGGAATAAACTTTTGGTCAGAACCTTTAAAGTGAATTATTATTTAATAAATGGCATCAATTCGCCCCTTGGAGAGAACTGCTAGTTATAGTTGGCAGATTTTATAACCACTAATACCCTCATCTTCTGTTTTTCCAATTTTTGGCAATGTCATTTCTTCTTGGTTTATGGCCTGAGGTTTAACAACTTAATTTCTTCATTCCCTAATGCTTTTATAAAAACATGTTCACGTCACCCTGATTACTGTGATCACTGATTTTGTGTCTGTGTTTGTTTATTTGAGCAGAAAAAAGTCACATTAAATGCTTTCTTGGATACTCTCATGTCTGACCCCCCGCCACAGTGTCTGGTCTGGTTACCACTTCTGCATCGACTGGCAAATGTTGAAAATGGTAAGTGATGGTTTGCTCACCCAGTTTAGTTACAGACTAGCAATTGCAATGTAGTGGGAACATCTAGGCTATATACAATGAGTTTCTTCGTTTACAGATGGCATTATAAAAGCTACCGTACTGAGGTTATTGATTCCATGGGCCATCATATAGTGGCTGATAAAAGTGGATGGCTTGCAATCAGTCATTCCATGGGTGATCTTGTTTCATTTTTGCTGTGCTCTGGAGTTTGCACTAAATTTTTCATCACTTTCTACACCCTGAGTAGCCAGGGAGCTATTGTATGTGGCCCATCCATGACACAGACACATTTGGTAAAATAAAATAGCCCAGCATTTATTAGCAATGATATCACAACACTAAAGGTGGAACAGCAAAGCAGCTCCTTCCCACACACTCTGTGTGGCAGTGTAAGTCCACTACAGATTGTAAACTAATTGCCACAATGTCCAAGTAGTCCGTAAGAGGAGACTAAACATCTTCTTGCAAAACAATTTACTCAGGAGACAAAATCAGGAACACCTCAGAACCTCCTTATCTCTCACATGAAGGATGAGGATTTAATTGAGAAATACTGCTCTCAGAGCCACACACTGAAACCATCCCCTTGCTCTGAAATTCATAGATATGAAGGTTTGTGTGTCCCATTATGATAATCTAGTCTAACCTTCTATATAACACAGATTATAGAATGCCACCCAGTAATTTCTATATCAAACAAACAACTTCTGTTTTGGAGAAGAAGTCAGATAACCTAACAAAAATCCCAGTCCCCTAGTCTAACCCCACACGTAGAATCTGTAGCAGAATACAAACACTGCCACAGCACTGAGGGTACATCTACACAGCAGGGTTAAAATCAAATTAAGCTACACAACTTGAACTATGTCAATTGCATAGCTTAAGTCGAAATAGCTTAATTCGGCTTTTGGTGCTGTCTACACAGCAGGAAGTTGAAGAACACTCTTCCTTCGACTTCCCTTACTCCTCGTGAAATGAAGGCTACAGGAGTCGGAATAAGAAGTCCTCCAGTTCACTTTTTTTTTTTAAATAATGGCTTGCAGTTTTGACACGCTCTTTGTTTTTTCAGAATAATGTCAGTTATCCTGAAATAAAGCTGCTGCGTAGACATAGCTTGAGTGTGCATTCCCAATCACAGAAAGACCCCTGTCTATCCTCCCTCCACACCTCCAAGATCTGTGTGGTTTTCCAAATAGTTCTGGCAATTCCCCCACATTGTTCTCTAAGGTCAGGTCTGCACTAGGGGGCAAAGTCGAATGAAGGTACACAGCTCCAGTTATGGGAATAGCGTAGCTGGTGTTGGTGTAACTTTGTTCGATTTACCACAGCATCACTGCTGAAAGAAACTCTCCCATCAACTTCCCTTACTCCTCACGACCCAGAGGAATACCAGAGTCAACTGGAGCGAGATCAGCGGTTGATTTAGCGGGTTCTTACTAAACCTGCTAAATCAACCCACAGGAGATGGATCTCGGCAGTCTCCTGGTAACTGGAGATAAGGCCTTACACAAAGCCTTTTGCTTCTTCTGTGCACAATGATCTGCATTTGGACCTTAAACAAGAAAAGGTTACAGTGTAAGTACATATTCAGTGTCTTACTGAACAGAGCACATCTGCCCCTAAGATGGTATTTCCTATAAATGATTGTTGAAGATTTTGTCATCTAATCCACTGCAAATGTCATTGACAATATATCCTTTAATGTTGTGATCTCGAAGGAAATATTTAAGCCTTTAAATTTAAACGTTCAATGAACAATACAAACAAATATTCAAAAAACAAACAATTTGCTTCCCCATATTTCCCTTGGTAGGCAGACAAAGAAAAATTCTCTTTTGAGGCACTCTGTCTAATGATGTAGCTGCTAGCTCAGGGAGCAGACATATTTGAAAATAAACTAAAGAGCCTCACTTTCTTAGTCAGGAGGGACAAGACTTCTTGTGCAAGGGATTTTCTGTCATTATTAGCTGAGGTCATTGGGAAAGTGCTTCCTGCTCATTTCCTTTCATGTGCTCCCTCCCAGCTGTCTACTGGAGCTTCAGAGTTGGGAGGGAGGCATATATGTACTCAGTTGCAGGTAAATACAGTATATGCTGCATGCAAGAGCAGATAGAGGCAATGGGATTGCCAAGTGGGGGGAAAACATCATTCATACCAAGATGAATAGTAAAAGATGCCATAGATCAGCCTTATATTCTAGGGCAGTGCATCTGGGTGACACAAATCCTCCTTTTTATATGCTTTTTGGTTGGAATGGTGGACAAAATAGAGCATACTCCTAGGGCCAGGATTTTAAACATGGGTACCATAGCTAAATGTGGTTAGTTAACTACCTCAGGATTAGCTCATTAAGATAGGACTCTGGATGTGTTTATATAGATTTAAGCACCTAACTTTAGGCCCCCATGTTTGAAAATCTGACCCCTGACCCTTAGGATCATCAGCCCTACTGCTAATAATAACAATACAAACTTTCACCTTTCCAGAATAGTAGCTTATTAGAATCAGGAAGATTTCCTCCTAATTTACTGTTTGTTTCCTCTCTAATAAGCTCAGTTTGCTTTGTGGTTTAAATATATTTGGGTTGTGGCAAACTGTGAATGTTGCTTCAGCAGTGATAAGGGGTTTGGTGTGGGGAAAGAAGTAAACCCATAAAAGATGTGTGAAGTTTTCGTATATATATTTTCCTCAGCCAAAGACCATGAATGGCATTTGATTTGGAAACTTACTGCAAACAAAGGAAGGATTCAGTCACCATTTGAGGCTTCATTTTTAATCTCGTTTTTATTGTTTCTTTTGTCTGTTTTTGTTTTTTATTTCTCTCCCCTGCAGTCTTCCACCCTGTTGAGTGTTCCTACTGCCACAGTGAGAGCATGATGGGATTTCGCTATCGCTGCCAGCAGTGTCACAATTACCAGCTCTGTCAGGACTGCTTCTGGAGGGGACATGCCAGTGGTTCCCATAGCAACCAGCACCAAATGAAAGAATACACATCGTGGGTAAGGCAAGGTTCCTGCTCTGCTGCAGACTGTTTGAACTCCAGCAGTCAGAGAGAGAATCCCAAAGATGGAGTAGGAACTGGCCAACTCAGTCATTTTATATCGCAAAATATAAACCGGTAGTAGCCAATTTAGATAAGTATGGAGCCTCCACAACTGTGGTCCCTGTTCCCCATTAAGCTCTGAGACAAGAATTTCTTTTCTGAGAGTGGATTTGAGCAGTCTAACACTTTAATTCTGTGCTGGATGTCAGGACAGCTGCAGGAAGGTCTTGGAATATAATGCTCTTTTCACAGTAAGTTTTCCATTTTTGTAGGACCCATAGTAAATTGTTTGTTAGCCTTTCTCTCTCTTTCTCTGATTTATATGCTAATGCCTATTTGTAAATGAAATTACGGGGACCATTAAAGTATGATACAGCTGTCTATGAAATCTTTTTAAGGAAGTAATTTAAGTGTGTGTGTTCAATATATTATCTATTATGTTTCCATTATAATACCATTTGAGTATATTAACATAATTACATCCATAAGAAATCATACAGCCTGTATTAAATAACTACCCACCTTTACATCATTTAAAAAATAATCCTATACTCAGCTGGCCCAAATGCTTCACCAAAACACTAAACCTAGCAATTTCTCCCTAATGTCCAGGTTCCAGCAAAGCCAAAGGTGAAGCAAGTTTTCAGCAGAGGTCTTACCACTAAGACCATGCCCAGAATTCATACCCAGGGACTGTCAGCAAAAGCACTTTAGCCACTCTGAGATGTCACAGTGCTGCATTGTTGTACATTAGAGGGGTGGTCTTTTACTCACAAAGGATGCATACCACAGAGTTTGTGTGGCTAAATGTTTGGACCTAAGTTTTCAAATCCACATTTAAAACAGCTAGAACTCTGGTCCTGTGAAAGTAGCTGCCTGCCTGATATTAATGTTGCATAGAACAGCAGGGTTAACTATAAAAGCACAGTTTGATTATCAGTATGCTAGACACATGGCTTTGCTAAGCTTCACAATAGACTAGGTGCACAGATGCGCTGTGGGCTCGCACTATATGGACATGGATGACTTGAATTTAAATTTGGGCAGGAGGGAATGTGCCACTTGGCTCTTCTCATCATTTAACAGTGTATTTGTGGAATTATATTTTTCTTGCTGTATGAAGTGTGCTGCAGTGGTAGGGAGGGAATCTGGTGATTTCACTTGAAAGCTGTTTCAAAACATTGTCAGACACAGCAAAAAAGCAAAATATGAACACATGTCTAGGCCCGCCAGCAACCCAAATGTTTTTTTACTTTTGGATAGGAATATTTCAACTGCAGTCTGAAATTGATTTACTGTTGTGTACTTGGGTACTATTTCTTTCAAAACAGGTTTGATAACAATGTCCTTAACACTTCCTGTGTATTAATGTAATATGTAGTGAGCCAAATCTTAGAAGTTAGGCTCATGCACACACCTGCAATGTGCCTAACTCATGCAGGTACCTCACATGCGTGTAAATTGGGGATGTGCAATAGAAGTGAATTATGGTGAATTCAGAGTGAATTGGTTATAGAGTGAATTGTTCAAATTCATTGTCATGTATAATTTGGAGTTCCAATAATAAAATAATTAATATCCTGGTCTACAGGGTATATGCCTTCCTTGTGAGGATCTCAAAGCACTTTAAAACTGAATCACAGAGAGGTTAACTGGCTTGTCCAAAATCATGCAGGAAATCTGTTGCAGAGCCTAGAACACAACCCAGATCTCACAACTCTGTGCTATAGCCATAAGGCCATTCTTTCTTCACTTAGAAAGAAGCTGTTATTTGGGGATTACTTCACTATATGGGGATTTCGCTCTATGTAATATCTCATTGGCTGTGTCTACATTGGCATCCCTTTCCGGAAAAGGGATGCCAATGAGACACATCGCAATTGCAAATCCGCGGGAGATTTAAATATCCCCCACGGCATTTGCATTTACATGGCTGCCGCTTTTTTCCGGCTTGGGGATAAGCCGCAGAAAAGCGCCAGTCTAGACGTGATTCTCTGGAAAAGAAGCCCTTTTCCGGAGGATCTCTTATTCCTACTTTTTTATTTTCCAGAGAATCACGTCTAGACTGGAGCTTTTCTCCTGCTTATCCCCAAGCCGGAAAAAAGTGGCAGCCCCCTTCCATCCCTTTTCCGGAAAGGGATGCCAATGTAGACACAGCCATTATGTTTATAAAAGCTGATGATGAAGCTGCTTTAAAACTGGCATGAATTATGAGATTCCAAGTTTCATAGCTTAATGCATGTTGTTCACACAGTGAGAGCAGAGTTGTTCCTTTTTTTGGGAAGAAATTAATGCTTATCAGTCTTTTCTTTTAGTTCACTGCCTCCAAGTCCATGAAACTACATCAGCATTGTGTCTGAAATTTCATTTGCCCTTATTTTACAGCATAGCAAATGCAGCAGCATCTAAGGCAGGCAAAGAGAGAAGTGTTAGTTTAAAACATTTAAAGAATGCAGGAACCTAGTGATACACTAGTGAGGAGAAGAGAGAAGGGATATAATGCACTGGCTTGCATGCATGCCACTACCTTAGAAGAGAGTGTCTCCTAGATCCTCATCCCAGAGCCGACTGAAGACAATGGGAATCTTTCCATTGACCTAAATGAATTTTGGCTCATTGGATCCCTAGAGAAAGGAAAGGAGGGAGGAAAAAGTTAAGAATATATGATTGTAAGTGGTAAGGCTTTGTTTTGCACTTCCTGTAGTTTCACTGTAGCAACCGTTTGCACCTTACTTGTCCACATGACCTTTACCTTCCTTGTTCCTCCCAGAAATCACCTGCTAAGAAGCTAACTAATGCACTTAGCAAGTCTTTAAGCTGTGCTTCCAGCCGTGAACCTTTACACCCAATGTTCCCTGATCAGCCTGAAAAACCTCTAAACCTGGCTCATATTGTGTAAGTATCTGTGTGCTGTAGAGAAAGTAATCTTCGTTCTAGTTGACACATTACACATTGTATCTCTGATGGGTGTGGAGGAAATGGAAGATGGCTGTTTCATTTCTCAAGTGCTTTGTATAAAATCACAAGAAGGGCTTTCTGTTAGTGTTAATTTACTTTGGTGTTCCAGGCCACATTTAAACTATTGGAAAAACGTATGGATGATTTTGATACAGGTGACACAGATAATGGACCACAGTCATAAGTGAGAAAAGGAAAAAATACAAGTATTTAATTTTTGTGCAGTTTTCATGGTTTAGTACAGTAAGGCTGTGTCTACATTGGCATGATTTTGCGCAAAAACATGCTGCCTGTCTACACTGGTGGGGAGTCCTTGTGCAAGAACACTGACGTTCTAATGTGTGAAATCAGTGCTTCTTGCACAAGAACTATGATGCTCCCGCTCAGGAATAAGCCCTCTTGCGCAACTGTTCTTGCGCAAGAGGCCAGTGTAGACAGGCAACATGAATTTCTTGCATAAGAAAGCCCGATGGCTAAAATGGCCATCGGAGCTATCTTGCGCAAGAGAGCGTATACACTGGCACGGATGCTTTTGCGCAAAACACATCTCTTGTGCAAAAGCACATGCCAGTGTAGATGCTCTCTTGTGTTAAAAGTATTTGTGCAAAATCTTGCCAATGTAGACGTAGCCTAAGATTTAGTCAGGATTCAACTATTTGAATGTATTCTCATGAGTCTCCAAACTTCAACACAACACTGCATTGTCTTGAACTAAGGTACCAGACAAGAGGTGAACTCTTGGCCCTCTTGAAGTCAATGCAAAGTTCTCAATGGAACCAGAATTTCTTCTAAAGTCTTAAAGCAATACAATTCAATTTTCATTTTATTCTAGTCTTGGATTGATCCTTTTCAGTTCACTCAATACTGTGGATTGTCTCTAAGTTTTCCCTTTTGCTCTCTTTTTTTATTTAAAGCTCATATAAACATGTTACACTTTGCTCCCTAGCACTCAAAGCAGAAAGAAGGCTAGATTTGCATACAGTGGAGAAATTCAGATGATATAGCATTGGCTGTGATGATTTAGTTGGAATTGGTTCTGCTTTTTAGCAGGGGATTGGACGCAATGACTTCCTGAGGTCTCTTCCAATCCTATGATTCCACGATCATCTGCACTAGTAGTAGATCTTACATTGTCATCTGACTTTGTAACATTGGATTCTCTGGTGATATACGGTTTCTTGGTCACATTTGACCTAAAAGTGACATTATTTCACTGGAATTCAATGCAAAACTAAAGTAACAATTGGAAAAACGTTCCAAAGCAATTAGATATGCTGAAATGATTTAATAGATATTTATTTTAAAATACTTCTCATGAAAAGCGCTGCAATCATTCTAAAAAAATGTCATTCGTTTAACCACCTCTATCATGCTACTAACTAAAGCAGCACAAGTGAAAACCATAAAGTTTTATTTGGGTGCTGTATGACTGAGTTCTGGTGGGACCACACTTGTCATATATGTGGCTGTTGTTTCACATTTACTTTTGCCAGTACTGAATGGCTTATGTAGTGACTACAAGGAATATGTGACAGTGTCTTTTTTAGGCTGAGGGAATCCTCTCTTAGCCTGCTCATATGTTTTAAAAATAAATTATACTGCTGATTATATTCCTTGTGTGGTCATTATGGGAGTTTTCCAAGGCAGTATGGCATTCCCTTTTTTTCAAAATATGAGATGTCTCATACAGATATTTAATTTAATGATGGTTACAACTGATAATCTCTTAAAATAAATGTACTGCTCTATGATAAGAATGGAATGGTTGCATATTGTACTAAGAAACAAAATCAGATGGATTTGCTCAGATATCGTGGTGATCAGTATGGTATAAAAGCCGAGATGCATGGATGGATAGATAATAATTTCACATGCAGAAACTGGGCATACTTCTGAGGGATAGAAAGAGAGATCGTGAAAGTGAAATTAAAACCTCCTCTTTGTGCTATGTGGAGTTTTTCATTGTGGGACATTGAAATTAGCCCTAGTAGGAAGATCTACCTGTATTCTGATATGAGAGACAAAGTAGATGAAGTAGTATCTTTTCCTGGGCCAACTTCCAACAACTTTGTCCAATAAAACCTATATTTCCATGCCTATCTTGTCTCTCACGGGACCAGCATGGCTACAACAACACTGTAACCAACTACAATGAAAAACTTTTTTTTAAATAAAAATCGGTTTCACAGCATGATTGTAGTACCCTACAAAACACTCTTAACATCTTAGACAACAGATAACATGCTGCAGTAATAGAAAATACTGGATTATTATGAAGGAATTCAAACAAAGGCAGAAAAGGGAAAGATATAGTAATTGAATAGGATCTTTTCCAAAATCTTTGCTGTAAAATTAGGACTTTGCCTTCTTTCTAAATATATAGATATAATTTAGTGTGAATGAATATTCAGATCAGAGACAATCTATTTTGTTTAATGGCACAGTTTCTGCTTAGCCTGAAAGCAATATGACTTTATTGAGTATAATGGTACATGAATGAAAAACCTTCATGGATATGGCATGATCTACAGCGTAATTCACATAAATTAACTGAGGGGGAAAATATGCTATAGTAACCCGTTGAGAATATCTTCTTGCTGGTATGAATTTTATTTTTAAATATAATGGAAGATAAAAGGTATCAAGAGAAACAGATCTGGGCAAGAATCCAAGCAAAAGGAGTTTTTAATAAACATTTAATGGTAGAATTCCTATGATAAAAGAGACCTCTTTTCTCAAGAGTTGCTACTTTAAATAAGGACAAAGACTTTCTGTAGTGATATGATTTATTTAAAGGTAGTAATCCTCCTTTTCATTGTTCTCGTCTCACCATAGAGTGCACAAAGAGCTGTCTAATTTTTCAATTTTATGGGCCCTACTCAACATTTCAAATTAAAATTGCAAGACAAAACATATCAAATATACACACTTATAAACTATTCACAATGATGCAAGAAATAATCAATAACGTGTGTGATGATAATCTTAAAGAAGAAATCTTATGACCTATGAGAATTAAGCTGATGCCGGAACTTTTTGGTGGGGTTTTTATGTATCGTAAACATAATTGCCAACTAAAAAGAAAGCCCTAACTATAAAAAGATTCAATTATATTACTTGCATGATGGTGAGATCATTGAGTGTACTCAGCAATAGTCTGGCTTTGCTCCCACTGAAGTCAGTGAGTGTTCAGGTTGGACCTCACTTGTCCAGCCCCCTTGGGACCTGAGCAGTTCCAGACCAGGGAGTTTGCCAGACCAAGGGAGGTCAGTGCTTCCCCACTGCCAGCTCCTTTCCCTGAGGCTTCCAAGGCTGGGGCAGGCTCTCTACCATGCCAACACTGGCCTACCTGGGGCTCCCTGTCCTGCTGTGCCCGCCTGCTGCCACGGAGGTTCCCCAGAGTTCCCAGCCAGGACCACCTGGCCGCTGCTGCCTGGATTCCCTCGCCAGGGCCACTTGGATGCCACTGGCTCTGTTGTTGCCAGGAATTCCCAGGCCATGGCTCCCCCAGTTACCATCTGGCTCCACTGCAAGCAGGGGCTTCCCAGGGCCCCCACCTGGCACCAGCCTGGCAGCCCCACTGCCACCATAGGTTCCCTGGCTGGCCCCGAGCTCTCCAGCCCCTGCCTGGTGGTTCCTGGCCCAGCCAAGCAGGTCCAAACAGGAAACCCAGCCCCCATGTGCTCCTAGCTTCTGAGACTCTTTGACCCAACAACATCCATGGCCCTGCTGGACCACGGATGTTGCCAGACCAGAAAGTCCTGAATTTGGGATGCCCAACCTTTATTACCATTTACTTCAGTGGAAGCAGATTTAGGCCAGCACCGCAAAGTTTTGGAAATCCCATCCACAATTTTGTCATTTAGTATGCTATGCCCCCAGGGGCATTCTGTGCCAAAAAAAGAGATTTCTGTCCACATTTTAAAATTTTGCAAATTGCAAAAGCAACACTATGTAATCACACCAGTTTCAGTTATTTTGGTAATTTATTTCAAAATGCCCAGCAGCAGGTGTTTCTCTAACAATACAGACACACAAAAATTCCCCCAAGAGTAGAGTTATAAAAATCCCTATGACATCCCAATTCCTGTTTCTCTGCCTTCCCCCCTCCAGAATCCAACCCCTCTCCCCTCAGAACCAGCCTTGAATCCCCCCAGAACCTAGATAACCATTCCCCATACCCCCAGTCCATATAATCACATCCTCTCCTTGCCAGAGCCCAGTGACGGGGTCTCCCAGCTAGATACCTACAACTGCTCCCCCACAGAGTGAAGCTGCAGAGTGCCTTCCAGCCCAGATACTTGGACCACTTCTGCCCAGCCACAGGTCATCCCGGTGTAGCCACCTGTCCATTCTGCTCCCCCGAGTCCAGTCATGCTTCCCTTCCCACACACCCACCTCCTCCTCCCAGAGTCCAGTCATGCCCCCCTGGCTCATAAACCCCCCTCCTACCCCTCAGAGCTCAAAGATGCAGAGGGAGAAAAAGCCTAATGCTGGGTCTGGGTCTTGTGCAGATTCCTGAGTGCTGCTGTCTCCTTCCCTCAGGGCATACAGGTTATTGTAGCTGCCGGGAATCCTCTATTTATACAGCCCTATATGGATACAAAATTATGTGTCTGCATCTGTATCTACAAAAATGAGTCACAGATATCTGCAAATTTGCAGGGTTCTAGATACAAAATGTATATCTGCACCCCTATCTGTACCTGCAACAGTAATCCACGGATATCTGCATCTATAGATGTGGATACCCACGGATAGCTGCAGATTTGCAGGTCTCTGCTCTAGCTCCTTCACCTTCCCCCAGCAGTTTCTTCTATGTGTGAGCTAGATTCTATTGGAGCCCATTTGTGTGGGGGAAAGGAAATTCTGCACACACAACATTAATTTCTGCCAAATTCTGTATTGCTGAATGACACAGAATTCCACCGGGAGTAATGTAATAGGCTTGGGAGAATTTTAATTTTTGTTATAATATTGACTGAAAAATTATTGATGTTTTATATTTATATTTGTTTTTATATTTTTTATTTCTATCTATTTACATTTTTACAGGTGTGGGAAATTAAATGGGGTAAACAATAATTATTTGATGAGAAATGTGGAGATTTAAAAAAATTAAGCTTTGTAACCATTAAAGCACAAATTGTCTACATCACGTGACAAACTATACAACCTAAATAACTTTGTCAAACTCCAATTAGTTCTCAAGCATCATTTTTCTTATTTTGCCCATATGTAAATTTCTATTATTATAGATGGAAATATTTTCATTGATTTGTATGTGTACAGTAAAATTGATACTTACAAACATTTCTAATCTAATCCTTCCAAGCCTATATATAAAGTTGTGTGAATATCTGGCATATGTTTATTTCCTTGCAGTATCAAAAAGTAAACAAAAATTGTTTGAGGGTCAAGTGAAATGTTCTGTTCAACCCAAAATAAGATGTTTCATTTTGGATTTTTTTTTCAACTTTTAAAAATTACTTTAAAATACAATTTAGGTATATATTAAAATGAAAAGTAATTTTAAATAAAAAATCAAAACATTTCATTCTGAAAATGTTGAAGTGAAATGTTTGATTTTTTCCGTTTTTTTTTTTCTTTTTTTACTGAAATGTTTCAAAGAATATCACTTGTTTGTTTTGTTTTAGTGATACTGTTGCATTTCATGGTCAACCTCTGTCTATCCAGGAGGTAGTAAATTCCATAATCAGCTGCAAAACTAAAAAAAAGAAAATATTCATCCAAGATTAGAATTTGTCCTTGATTTTTCTAAAAGGTCTGCTATACATAGCTGTCTTACACCAAACAACCACTTTGTGTATTTACACACACACACACACACACACACACACACACTGTTAAAACTGAGCTTGAGAAAAGTGATGACAAAAACACAGTTGCCAGGGAGCAGTAGCTTTAAGGAGCTCAGCCTGACAAATCCTGAATTGGTTTCAATACCAGTTTTCTTGATATGAAAATTGACAAGAAAACAATGGCCTGTTTTTATCCAGATACATTTCAAAATGCCATTTTCATTAATGGTCTCTCTTTTCAATTTCATTTGGGCTGCAAAAGAGATACGTGGTAAGTATTTTATTCTCCTTTAGTTTGTTTTAAAGGAAACGAAAAATTTGTAACGAATCTTATTACATCTTCATTGTTGATCACAGAATGTTTAGCAGAGTCCAGCCTTGAGTGTGTAGTTACCTTTGAATAGTCCACTGTTTTCATTACCCAGATAAAAAATGAAATGCAGCACATATATAACTCCCATGTAGCTGATGTGAAATGCTAATACTACTGTTCACCACATAAAATTACAGATGAAACTCCCAGGCAGTTAGTATTTTACCAATTAAATGAGATCAGATTATTTTTCATTGGTCAGAAAGATTTGCTATTCACAGATTAGTAGGTACAGCCTCCTATGCTCCTATAAGTGATTTATAATTTTGATTTGTTGCTGAAACAATGCAAATTATATGCTCTTTGGGGGCAGAGAGAGTCTTTTTGTTATAGGTGTAGACAGTGCCTAGAACAACAGGACCCTGGTCTATGACTGGAGTTCCCAGTTGGTACAAATACTAAAGGAGAATATTATTAGTCCACAGTAGATTTTCTTGATGTTTGATGCATCACTTCTCAGAATGGAAAAGAAGTGATGGTTCAACATGCTGCTTGACTCCATGTGTCTCATTTTAAATTTGAAATACACAATTAGCACTCTAAAAGAGAACACTGTATCATTGATGCATCTGACAACACTGTGAGGTACAGCAGTAAGACTCTTCCCATAGAGAAAGAAATAAGAGTACTAAGAGATGGAAGGACAGGATATAATCCTGGCCCTACTGAAGTCAGTGACCAGACCTGGAATTCAGTGTCTCACATGGGTCACTAGTCACAGGCTAAGGGCAATAAACACATCTCCATTATAATGAAACAATGTGAAAAAGAGTTCATTTAATTTAACACTGCTTTGATCAATATAGGTAGTGACTTCCAAGTCCTCCCTTCAGAATTCTCGCAGCAGATTTTGGAGGTTGTATGTTTGTAATGGCTTTAAAGCAGAAGTGGAATAATATGATTAGATTTATAATGTGTTTCCCATCCACCCTTCTTAGACAGGTCTAATTTGGATTTCCCCATTATCCTGAGGATTGAAGCACAGCTTGGTTTTCTGAAGACTGTTATTGCATCCTGACCCGCACTCTTACTAGTCCAAAAAGAGAGAGGAAATTGTCACAGAATTGACAAGGGTGTTTTCCACTTGAATATAATCCATTTAAAACTCAAGTTAAATACAACTTCAGGTACTGCACCCAGTCCATAATCCCCCTGCTGACCCTTGTATTTTAAAATCACATTTTCCAAATCACAAGTTTTCCAAAATGTTTTCTCTCCCCCTTTGCCATATGAACCTCCCCTCCCCCCGCCACACACACACAAATGTAAAAGAAAATGTCTATGCAAAGGAAACCACAAAGCAAGTTGTACACTGTCAGCTGTCAAATACCTAAACTAAAAACTGCAAAAAGCTGAGGAAAATAATTTTTAATCTCCATTTCAGTAACAACAGTAAGTAAACAGTATCAGGCAGAAAAAGTCACTCTTAAGTTGTGTCCTTTTAAAGTGGTTACAGTACATTATTTTTTAGTCAGATGTGTCTGTGTGGGTTTAAACACTGTTGACAATGGTTCACTATTTTTGCAGTAATTATATTTTATGGAGCAATTCAGTGGACTTGGTAAATATGCTTCACAATAAATTGTTTTGCCAGAGTAGGAAAAAGAATCAAGCAAATTGCTCAAAATGTGACTCAGAACCTATAAAAAAATCTGATTTTGTCTATTTCTCAGTCCTGCTATGGCTTTTCATTCCACATTTTAAAAAACACAACCCTTTAGTTTGGAGAAAATTGCTTATTTATAGCAAAAGATATTTTCTGTCAGTTTACCTTGAGTAAGAATATAATTAATCTCTATGTGTAAATGTTGCTGATGATTTGTAAAATACAAACACAATATAATTAGCTATTTTGTCTTCTTTTAGGCCTCCCAGACCTGTAACCAGCATGAATGATACACTGTTCTCTCACTCGGTTCCCTCAGGAAATGCTTTCACAAACAGAAGGTGAGTGTTCATCCTTCCTTCCTTTAAAGGAACTCACATGAATGGAAAATGAATCCCTGATTTTTAGGGTTTTTGTGTTTTACTCAACGAAAATGTTGGTAGAACACTGTCTCAGCAATATTACAGCCTTTTGTGTATTGAGTTTCAGTTATTCAGATGAGAAGCCTACATTTTAAATGTATGCTCCTAAATTTGGGCACCCAGTTCTAAGCTGGCATGCTTACGTGGATGCTACATTGCACTTTTAGATGCCTAATTCTCATTGTAATTGCTGAAATGCAGAGTTGGGCACCTTGATTTAGATGCTGATGTTTGAAAATAGGGCTTCAGATCCTAAGTGATGGGCAGGGAGTACAAGTTGGGTTAGCAATTTAATCTACTAACTTGTCATCTTTGGGGATCTGAGTTAAAATTTCAACTATATCACATATGGAAATGAGCTTGATGTTCTAATTTAGATCTTTGGAAGATAAGTTACAAAAAAAACCCAATTTCTTGCATTTTTATGATGCTGTATAACTAATCTATCTAAATTCCAAATTCTGTGTGGACTTTATAAAAGTTAGCCAGGATAGTTTTTATATAATATAGAGTATATTTAGGATATATATATATCTCACTTATACCCAGTGTTCACTTGGTACTAACTAGAGATGGAACTGAATCAAGACCACCTGGAACAAGCAGCCCTGAATTATGGGGACGTTCAAATCCAGATCCGAACTTTGCAGCGTCATTGTAGATTCACAAGTTCATTTGTAGCATTCACTGCAAAGCCTTGCAACACAGAATATCAAATTGAGTAAAACAGCTGCTACATACTGACTCAGTCCTAAGACCCAGAAATGTGTATTAACAATTGATAATGCTCTGCAAATATGCTAATGATATCAAGGCTTCTGATTGTCCCACATATCTAGCCCGTAGAGGGCAGAAGCATGTTAAGCCACTGTTTGGAAAGATGTTGAAACATTCCTTCACTTGTTATATAAATCAAATATTCATTAAAGGCCACAACAAGGAAAGAAGTGTCTTGAAATAGAATGGCCCTTTAGGAAACAAAGCAGAAAAAAAAGTTCTGAAAACATCATTCCTAAAGAAAAGGGGTATGCAACCACATACACAGTTATATATGCAGGCAGTCAAAATATGATTACAGCATGTGCTACCAATTAAATATTTCACAGAACAACCTATAAGTAAATGCTCATAGTTAGGATACTGGAAGGAGAAGTACTCCTTGCTCTGATGGAGAAGGTAAGCCATTGTATAACCTTTGACTGTGTCCAATTGAATTGTTCTTGCTTGGTTTAAGTGCTGCGGAGACTTAAAACTACCAGTTATAATCTTGGTAACATGAATATTCACGGTTATTCTTTCAGAACCAAAACCAAAGACATAGTACGCCCCACTGTAATATAGTGTGAAGAATAAAGATGTGCTCCCCTAAAAATTGTTTTGTTACCCATACACTACCATTGTTACTAAAAAATATGCAGCCACCAAGAAATCACAATGTTCAATCAGCAAAATAGTATGATATAAAACAGGCACCCAATCAATGATCTTTAGTTACAGTACTCAAAGTGGTTTTTGATGTGCTATGTTCCATTCTACACAGAAAGAATTACTGATACTATTTTTAGTTTCTTGTCAGTTCATGTCATTGTCTTTAATTATCAGGATCAAATGAAGTCACATTTCTGGCACTTTACAATTCCTTTTCTCCTGGAGGGATTGTCCTTTTATACATGAAATCAGGATTTATCAATAGAAAATTTCCTGTAGGGCAAGGGTTCTCAAACTTTGTGATACCGTGACCCCCCTCTAAGTTGCTCGCAACCCCCCAGGGAGTCGGGACCCATAGTTTGAGAAACATAGCTGTAGGGCAAGAGGTATTTTAAAAGCCAGAGCTCTAGATAGACAGACCAGTAGATGGGTAATATGGTACCTTTCCATTGTGAAATGTTCTTGTAATACCATGGATATCCCTGGTTTTTGTAAAGTTAATAATGCCATGAAATGTAAAATAATATATATTAAGCCTCTTGTAACTTGTTTGTTTTCCATCCCCCTAATTTGTTTAAGTGCAATGCAGCTTATTCTAAATATTTTTGTTTTCAATCCCAATTCTCTTGAATCACATCTTTTTATTTTATTTAAAAAGACAGTATTCTATTTAAAATGGTTGTGATTTCAAAACACTGAAACCACTGTCAGCATGCTGCTCTATGTATTTGCATAGGATATTAACAAGGTTTCATTATTTGAATTATTCAGGTTACTTGAGGGTATAAATATAGCCAGTCCTGTAGCTGATGAGCATTCTCTTATAAAGCTGTATGTAAATCAGCTTCACAACAATTCACGGTCAGTATGAGAGCACTAAATCACTAATCACTGTAGTTCCGTAGCTGATGCACTAAATCATTAGTAATTTTGCTAAATTGCTAAAGATATTCTTAAAGGGGGATCCTGTAGGGATAGAGGACTTATGTGGTTTTAATTAGACAAGACTTTGATTAAACTTCACACGGGCCTTAGACTTTGCAAAGCTTTCTTGCTTTTGCATAGCACAAATCTTTCAAATGTTTTAATAGTTTTACCAGGGATAGGAATATGTACTAGACGTGGGTTTTGTTCAAACCGCTGCACACCTTTGCATTTCCATCTTCACTGTGTAACCACTGCTTTTCTACATTCAAAAGAAACCTGAAAATAATAACTTGAAAACCATCCCAAATTTCACAGTGAGGCTGCTACTGGTGATCACTTTGGATCAATACAATAGCCCTTCTCTCTCTCTCCCCCCGCCCCCTCTTCCCCACCAACCTTCCAGTGCAGCAAACAGGAATACTTTGTGCTCCTTGTCAAATTGGTCCACAAAGAATCCTCATCGAATCCTAGGGCTGAAAGAGACCAGCCCCCAAAGCAGGGCCAACCCTAACTAAATCATCTCAGCCAGGGCTTTGTCAAGCTGGGACTTAAAAACTTCTAGGGATGGAGATTCCACCACTGCCCCAGGTAACCCATTCCAGTGCTTCACCACCCTCCTAGTGAAATAGTTTTTACTAATATACAACCTAGACCTCCCCCCACTGTAACCTGAGACCAATGCTCCTTGTTCTGCCATCCATCACTACTGAAAACAGCCTCCCCATCCTCTTTGGAACTTGAACTTTAGAAGTTGAAGGCTGCTATCAAATCCCCCCCCAGCACTCAGTGATATGGCCCCAACTGAGAAATCTCATTCCTCTAGTACCCCAGCCTCATGGGGTGAGGGGAAGGGAAGTGGAGGACTGAGGTTCAGGGCTTCCCATAGACAGATTTACTTTTCTGGGGTTGCAGAATTAGTAGATTTTATGGACCCCTTAGGCTCTGGGGTGGGGACAAAAATGTGGGGTTCAGTGTGCAGGGTAGGGCTGCCAGCAAGTACGATAGGGATGTAGGTTCTGGGAGGGATGTGGGTGCAGAAGAGGGAGAAGTTGCAAGGTCCGGGTGGGGGGAAGGGTGCAGAAGCAGGCTAGGAGTAGGGTGTCTGGCCAGGTGGAGAGAGCAGGAGCAAGGGAGGGTGCAGTGTGTGGCCCAGGGAGAGGGTGCAGGAGCAATGTGGATGAAGGAGCAGGGTGGGGTGTCTGGCCAGGAGAGAGGGTGCAGGAACCACTGCTGACTTGTATCCAGGTCCTTTTCTGCTGAATTGCTACTTAGCCAGTCAGTCCCCAGCTGTAACAATGCTTCAGATTCTTCTGTCCCAAGTGCAGGATTCTGCACTTGTCCTTGTTGAACCTCATCAGATTTTTTTTCAACAAATCCTCCAATTTGTCTAGGTCACTGTGAACCCTATCCCTACCCTCCAATGTATCTACCTCTCCCCTTAGCTAAGTGTCATCCTCAAATTTGCTGAGGATGCAATCCATCCCCTCATCTAGGTCATTAATAAAGATGTTGAACAAAACCAGCCCTAGAACCAATCCGTGGGGTACTCTACTTGGAACCAACCACCAACCAGACATCATTGGCAAAATGTTGGTGTGATCTGAATTCCATTGAAGTCAATGGGAGTCTTCACTGAAGTCACACACTGAGCTTTGTTTTGGGACCAGGAGTTGGACCACCACACCCCTCTTCACTGTTCCCTCTCATTTGAACAATCCGAATGAGACTTTGCTTTACTTGGTACAAAAGAAGGAAGTGGTGCAGACAGGCAAGAAAGACTAGTTTCCCAGGTCGTTTTCTGCATAGTCACCTCTATTATTAGTCAGTCCTTGATCATTAGTTATTCTTCTATTAGAAAATATTTATGCTGAGATGCTAGTTTTTGAAATACCATTTCCCCTGATTCATAGTAGAGCAATGATAGTGTTGTCACTCATCCTCGGAGGTTTTGTTATTATTGCCCTGGTAAAAACAACAAGGAGTCTTGTGGCACCTTAAAGACTAACAGATTTATTCAGGCATAAATTTTCATGGATAAAGCCCATGTCATCAGATCAATTGTAGTGCCCTAATAAATCTGTTAAGGGTATGTCTACACTTGCACCCTCTTTCGAGAGAGGGATGCAAATGCAGACAAGCAAAATTGCAAATGAAGCGCGGATTTGAATTTCCTGCACTTCATTTGAATAATCGCGGACAGCCTCTATTTCAACATACCCAATTTCGAAATAATAAACACTGTGTAGACGCAAATATTTCGGGAGAAAACCCTTCTTCTGAAATAACCTTTATTCCTCGTACTACAAGGTTTACCGGTTATTTCAGAAAAAGAGTTTTCTCCCGAAATAACTGCATCCACACAGCGTTTGTTATTTCGAAATAGAGTATTTTGAAATAGCAGCAGTGCGCGATTATGCAAATGAAGCGCAAGAAATTCAAATCCACGCTTCATTTGCGATTTAATTTGTCTGCATTTGCATCCCTCTCTCGAAAGAGGGTGCAAGTGTAGACATACCCGAAAGTGCCACAGGACTCCTCTTTGGTTTTGCAGATTCAGACTAACACGGCTACCCCTCTGTGACTTGCCCTGGTAAAATCAGTCTTTCCTATCATGCATCATAAAATAGGTTTTTATAATTCTGTTTGCAAGTCTGATGGGTTAATACTAAATAGTTGGTGATTCATGTCACAATCAAAATTGTTCAGACTAATTATTGATTCTCTAGTTGATCGTAATATCCCTAAAAGCTAGCTGAGCCATGTTTTCCCCAGGGTAAAATTTGTGATCGCTTTAATCTGTTTTATGGACTGGTTCAACAGCTTGGGTAACTTTGAAGAAAGATTTTCACACAAATAGAGATCATTTTTATAAAAACATTTTCCGTATTCCCTTTGCAATTGTATCAAATATTTTTATTTGATTGATATTTGTATTGAAGCATTTTTCGTCACAACCAGCTTCTCAGTGTGCTCCATCCACCCAGGCATCTTGCATCCTGAGTGTATAACAACAAAGTCCTGTGCTTATGGAAATGGAGGTGGCATTATACATTCATCACTATATCATCCTAACTGCTGGATCAAATGAGACAAAGAAAAATGCATTGGCAAGGGGCAAACCTTTGAGGAAGAACATCTGAAAGAGAAAATGGATGTTTTTCATTGTTTGCTATTTGAGATGGGTTCAAGCCATGAAGTTTGGATTCATAATCAAGCTTTCTCAACATTCATGAGTGTTCAGATTCAGGCTTTTGATTGAGCCTGGTATTTTTTTTTCCACCTGATCTGTTTGATAGTTTCTCTAAACTACCCCACAATAAAAGTCACTCTTAAATTTCACTGCTTCTCCTTGTTCATTTAAACTGTCCTAGTTTGGGCCACAATGGCCAGGTGAGAGCAACAGCTGGAGGAGGCCTTCTGCTACCTGTAAAATCTGTCATTGGAGACATAAAAAACGTTTTATAGCTACAAAAAGCACCACTGGTAGATATAAAAATAAACTGTGCTCAGGGTGGTTTTTTACACTTCTTTGTGCAGTGCAGGATCCACATTCAAATACCATATTTTAAAATAGGATACAAATAACCAAGCACAAAACTATAACCTTCTGATACAAACTTAGTCATTAGTTGTTCCGCCAGCTTACAAATAATTAAAACCACAAGTCCTGTATTTTCTTTGCTTGGCTAACATTCTTTCTTTGTGATCTGGGGCTACCTGGAGGGCTGCAAAACAATTTAGTGGCTTCAATTGTAGTGCAGTTATCAGGGAAATATTAATGTACAGTGGGAAATACCCATGTAAATTCAATTAGCTAAATGCCTGGCTTAATGTAAAAATAAGTGAATTGGGCATTGCAGAGCCTCTTGTCCAATTCAGGATAGATAACTTCAAACACTGCTTCAACTTAATTAAAATGTATTTTCCCTTTGGGTAGCTCTGTACTGTATCTGCTGTCTATCGGTGCTGATCCAAGGTGTTCAGATACCATGGTGATGGATGCGATAGCTCTCTCTTTCTTTCTCTGTATTTAATTTGTTCCCCTAGAATTATCAATATATAGGGCTTGGGGAAGAGGCACGTATAAGAATGATTATCTACATTTTTTTCTCCAGTAAGTTGTTTCTTGTTTAAATATTTAGGATGATGTGAATGAGACCTGGTCAACAGATTATCATTAACATTAAATTAGCTGCAAATGTGTGTCACACAAAAACTTTTCATGATGCCCAAACCCTATATGCAGTCACAGGGTAATTACTGTTGAGTCATAATGGCAGGAGCCTCTTTTTAATTCCAAACAGGATATAAAAGGTGTTGGATAGTTCCCCTCAGCAGAAGGAATTGGGGCAGATGAGGTCAATGTCTCACTTGTACATGCACACACACAAAGGTTAGGCTGAGCTATATTGGCTACTGGTGATGTCTAAATTACCTCCTTTTGGAGGTTTGGCCACTTGAACTACATATAGTCTTTAGACAGTCTGTTCAGAGCAGAGTAGGAATCCTTTTTCATGTCCTCTGGTCAGATTGGCCAACCATCAGCCTGCTTATAAATTCTGATTATGACACTATCTAAATACACTTGAACCTCCATAAGCTGGGTGTCACTAATTTGGGAACACCTGTGGTTTAGACGCTGGCAGAGGGAGGAGGAAATGTCTCTGCGCTGCTGCTGCTCCTCCCCCTTCCCCAAGCTGGGGGGAACATCAATGCAGCAAAATGCTTCTCCGGAGGCTTTTCTCCCACTGCTCCCATAGCAGTGAGGAGCAGTGGGGTGTGGAGCCACATGTGCCCCTAGGAGCAGGGTGCCAGGTAAGTGCCTCCCAATCCCCTCAAACCCAGACCCTGCACCTCTCGCACCCTCCCTCCTTCCCAGACCCTGCATTTCCACCCCCCAGGCACTCCTGCAGCCTCCTTCCCAGATCCCATGT